CTCAAGGCTTTAAGCCTGTACAATTAGCAGTAGAGAGCTGACATGAGGACAATAAGATGGAGGAATAAGGGTAGATGATCTGTGCTCTTCTGGGCAACTGATTATAATTTACCTGTGAGGCAGCCAAGTGGAGAGGTCTATAGTCCAGACTTATGAGGCAGGTATTAGGAAATGGATAGGATATGGAAATGAAGATTTCAGATCCAACTACTATCACTGATATTCAAAGCCACAAAATTTCAAGAGGAAGAGTACTGAAGGAAAAAAAAAAAGAGTCAAGGGAGATCTTTGGACAAATTCCATTGTTAGGGGCAAGAAGTAAAGAAGAAAGAGTAAATAAGACAGAAGGAGATTCAGGGAAACACTACAATGGAATTCAGATATGTGTATAATCTGGGGTGTAAATGTGTTCTCTGAGAATTGTCCATTAATCACAGCCCCGACTGAATCAGTAGGTCCAGCTTCTATATTAGTATCATATGACTCTACCTCCCTGACTGTAGCTTCTTGGGTCACAACACCCACCTGAATCAAGCTAGGCCAATCTAATCCTCTCTATAGGGACTTTAAATAATTAGCTGATATTTTAATTAGTTGATGTTAGAGCTAAACGGAGATGTTAGAGTCATGTAGAGCCAAGAGGTGGTTTTTGTTGAAAGGCCGTTCAAGACAACAAAGGACCCCAAAACAGAAAGCTACTTGCTCGCCATTGAAGCACCCAATCAATGTTTGTTGGATTATTTACTAATGTATAGCCAGAGACCCTATTGTTTCATGCCTAAAGTCTAGTATAGATACAGACTACATCTGTCAAGTTGACCATTTTATCTTCTGTATCAATTAGAGAACATAATGAGTACTGAATGAATGAATGAGGTCTGGCTATGCCTTCTGCTCTCAGGTTCCACCAGACAACCCTGTATCCTTCCCTTACATTTTCCTTCTGTTGAGTGAATTTGACATTGTGTCTGTTCCATGCAAACAAGCAATTCTAGACTGAAATAGCAAAGAATAGAATGAAGAATGAGACCATGACCAAATACACATCTGCAGGAATCAAAACTAAGGACAAAGAGACCATTAGAGTTAATGTTTAGAAAGTGAATGGAAATCTTTTTTTTTTTTAATGTCTTATTTATTTCTGAGAGAAAGAGAGAGAGGCAGCATGAGCCGGGGAAGGTCAGAGAGAGAGGGAGATACAGAATCCAAAGCAGGCTCCAGGCTCTGAGCTAGCTGTCAGCACAGAGCCCAACATGGGGCTTGAACCCACCAACTGTGAGATCATGACCTGAGCCAAAGTCAGACACTTGACTGAGCCACCCAGGTGCCCCTATGAGTGGAAATCTTTAAGACAGTAGTTTCACTAGTGAATCACTGATACTGAGTTAAGTTTAGGGGTAAGAAAAATCTGATGTCTGAAAAACATTCCGTAAAATGCAAGCACACAGAGCTTATAAGGTCTCTGTAAGTAGTGCCTGTTTTGGTCATAAATATTGTGTGGAGCCTGAGAGTCATTTGACTCCTGGCTGCATGACCTCCATGGCCAAACACTGAGCTGCCTCTCCTGTACTGCATTTTGAGTAGCTACCTGCTGGGTGACACAATCTGGAAGTATGGATAAGTTAACACCTATGGGGTGAATCTTGATGAAGGAAAATGCTGGACAGAAAGGAACGGATGATATGAATAACCCTCCTCATTTCTCCATTCTGTGGACTGCTGTGAGCTGTGGCTTCTCCTTGAAACCTGTCTTAAGAAGTCCCATATGCCAAATATGAACATGTCTCGCCTGTGTCTCATTATGGCAAGTTGCTATTTAAGTGCTCCAGGAGGTAATGCATCAAGGTTCCCAGCCTCGTTTTCGTTTTCCTTTTTTTTTTTTTTTTTTTTTTTGCCTTTTTAGGGAATTGACCTTGTATACCCTACACATAAAGTATTAGAATTTTAATCTTCCTCTCAAATTCTAGCCCCTAGAGACTTGGGCTAAGACAGTGGTATAAGCTCAAGTATAAAAGACTTGTGGCTTCTAAGATTTTGCAAGACTTTATGTGTTTTGTACAGACATCCTCATCAGTAGCTATTGACCTCTCATTTGAGATAATACATTCTAAAAGAAGCTACATTTAATACATAATTGCAAGGGTTCATGCTCTTTATGGCCATCTAGATCCTAAGTTACCATATTTTTGGCTAAATCATCTATAGCCATTCCCAAATGCTATAATACATAGGTCTCAGGCTAAAATTAACAGACCTGCTTAAAATTTAGAATTTTACTTAAAGGCTTACAATAATTCAGATAAATGAAAAGCAAAGACTATAGATAGAATAAACAAATGATCAGAATATAAATGTAAGTCTAGAAAAGTTTCTTCTTGCTGCTGACAACACATAGAGTCCATACTACAAAGTTAAATTGTATTATAAATGTCTACTTATAAAAATCGGTAATATTAATCCATTCGTCTGTTGATGGACACTTAGGCTCTTTCCATGTTTTAGCTATTGTGGAGATACACGGCAATGAGAAACAATGAAATCTGGCCATGTGTAGCAACATGGATGGACCTTGAGGGTGTTATGCTGAGCGAAATAAGTCAGGCAGAGAAGGACAAATACCATATGTTTGCACGTATAGGAGGATTAGGAGGAACTTGACGGAGGACCAAGGGGGAGAAGAAGGGCGGAAATGGTGGGGGAAAGGGAGAGAGGCAAACCATGAGAGACTCTTGAATGCTGACAAAAACTGAGGACTGATGGATGTGGGGGGGAGGGGGGGATGGGCATGAAGGAGGGCACTTTGGGGATGAGCACTGAGTGTTATGTAGAAACTAATTTGACAATAAACTATTTGTAAAAAAAAAAAAATCGGTAATATTATATTAAATATGTACATGCACAGTTTTTTTTAAATATTTAGAGCATGTATTTGTAGAGTACATTTTACTATCTATAAAAGTGTCAAAAACATTAATAAAAAGAAAAAACTGGGGGCTTATTAACATTTTAGGAAACTGAAGACTCTAGCCTCCCAGATATTAAAAAAACACTCAAGCAGCTTCTATGAAAAAGATGTAAAACAACCTAATAGCTTGACTAAATCTTCCTAATGTAAGACTTACATTCCATTTAAGTCTTTCCCGTCAGCTAAAATAAATGTATATATTTTATGTAAGTCTTCAAAATCAACTCTGAGATGAAGTAGAAAAAGCAAAACAGACTATACACAATAAAATAAGCTTAGTTATAAAAGAAAATTGTAACAAAATAGTAATACTCTGAACCAGTAATCCATTGTAAGACTGTGTGATTTTTCTCTTTGGTCCAGAATAGACTTCAGTACCTCATTTGAAGGATTTACATCAGCTCTAAATGTGTCTCTAATAGAATCCACACTAGGCCTGCAAAAATTCATATTTCTAAGGAAGAATAAGTAAAGCAAATACAAGATGAGGCATAGGACAATTCATGTGACACCTAAGAAGAAAAACAAGGGTGATGTCCCTTCATGCAAGACAGTTCTCTGTTCATCTCAAACAGCTTGTTCCAGGAACCGAATCTGGTTTCCCTTGGTACAGGGGGGCATGGAAAGAAGGCCAAGTATGTTTTCTAAGTGACTATGCAGTAAGAAAAACCCAGGACTTCCCAGAAAGAGAGAAAAGAGAAAATGAGTTGTCAAGGTAATATCCGAAGAAACAATATCAGATAATTTGTCAAGAATTATGACACAGTCCACAGATTTAAAAGGTCTGAGGGATGGGGCGCCTGGGTGGCTTAGTCGGTTAAGCGTCCGACTTTCGCTTAGGTCATGATCTCGCGGTTCGTGGGTTCGAGCCCCGCGTCGGGCTGTGTGCTGACTGCCAGCTCAGAGCCTGGAGCCTGTTTCAGAGTCTGTGTCTCCCTCTCTCTCTGACCCTCCCCTGCTCACGCTATCTCTCTCTCTCCTAGAAATAAATAAAAAAAAAAAAAAAAAAAAAGGTCTGAGAGATCCAAGGAGAATAATTGTTTCAAATTACATTCTGACACACCACAGTAAACTGCAGAAAGTGGAAAACAAGAAACTTTTGAAAGCACACAAGTGGGGGAACACAGATTAATATTAAAGAAACAACATCAAAATTTCACCTAACTTCTCAATAGCAATAATGAAAGTTACGAGTGGAAGGACATCAATCTGCTGAGGGGAAAAAAGGAATTAAGAAATAATTATCAATAATAAAACATGATTATCAGTATGGATTGAGTTAAAAACATAACGCTGACTTACAAAACCAGAGATAAATGAATTAAGTATAATTACATTTTTATCTACATGGAAAATGCAATTTTACGTTCATGTATGTCAAAGTAGAAAAATGAACAGAAATGAGAGAACAATTATTTTAGTTGGGAGGGCACATGGTCAAAGATTTTCAAGTTTATCTGTTGATCTATTCTTTATTAAAGAAAGGTATATGAAACAAACATAACCATATGTCACAATGCAAGTTTTATTATGTATTCTATAATTCTCTTTATTTCAAGTTTTTAAAATTTTCTTAAAATCACACACAATTTTTAAATTATCAACAAATTCTGATCTAGTGACTTCATTTTAGAAACTTTATCCCAAGGAAATAATTTCAAATGCAGGAATTTTCTCTTCCTTAATTTGAAATAACAAAGGACATAGAAATAACCGAAGTGCTTCATAATACAGTAATTATTAAATACTTTCTCTTATGTATTTCATAGATTATTATGGCAAGTTAATAGACATATATGTTTACAGGAGAAATTCTTATTTTAAACAAAAAGTATAGAATTCAAAATGTTAGAAATATATGATCATTGCAAATTATGAATCTATTTATTTACAAAATAGTAAATCTTAACGTTTTTATCCTTAGTTATAGAACTATATATGATTTTTTAAGTGTTCATAATAATCTATACTTTCTAAATTCTACAAAGCATATGGGTCTGCTAGTTTAATAACATGAAAACTTTTTCAAACTTACTTTGGTTTATTACTCTTTCTTTTCCTTAAATTTTGAAACTTCATCCTCAAGAGTTTTTCATGATAAGAGGAAGATATCACTCCTAACTTATTAATCATGGGTGATTTGTTGACAGCCATATTCACAGACCATACACCTAAAGAAAAAACATTAAATTCTGTATTAGAATACAAATGCACTCACAGTACCAAATAATACATTACATGCAAATTCATGATTTGTGAGAAGAGGGTGATAAAAAGGAAAATCAGGCAGAAGAAAGAAATTACATGAAGGAAGAATTTAAATTTAATTTAAAATGTCAGACCCAAGAGTCAAACCCAACTTTGAATTAAAAACTCATGTGCTTTCTATTATGTTACTATTTAAAACTTATCCTTTTATATAATATTTAGCTTTTATTATACTTCAGCTGTTTTATCAGCAAAACCACTGGAAGATCATGGCATTGTAGTTCAGAGGATACAATCAAACTGATTTACTTTACTGCTCTTTGCCTCAGTTTCTGCACTTGTACAATGGGAATACTACCTCCTTACAGTGTTGCTGTAAGAAATAAATAGGTCCAGGGGCACCTGGGTGGCTCAGTCGGTTAAGCGTCCAACTTCGGCTCAGTTCATGATCTCACAGTTCATGGGTTCGAGCCCCATGTTGGGCTCTGTGCCAACAGCTCAGAGCCTGGAGCCTGCTTCAGATTCTGTGTCTCCCTCTCTCTCTGACCCTCCCCTGCTCACGCTGTCTCTCTCTCTTTCAGAAATAAATAAAACAGTAAAAGAAAAAAATTTTTTAAAGAAAGAAAGAAATAGGTCCATAAATGTAGACTGCTTAGAACTGAGCATGGCATTGAGCCTAGGAAGCTTTCTGTGGGGGCTTGTGATCACTATTAGACTACTATGCTTTCTATTTTTTAAAATTACTTGTAATTTTTTTTGGCTTCTATCTTTTTATCATTAAGATTATGCTTTCCCTGCTTGCCCTCACATCCAGATGTATTTTCCTTTTCAAGTATGTCTGAATACATTTTATAAGTAGAAAGTACTATTAGTACTAGAAATAGTAATAAAAAATAGTACTAGAAAAATAGTACTAAAGAGTACTATTTTTGTTTGGTAGAGTATTTAAATAGCAAATGAAGTAATGGAGTAGGCAGTCAAATTTTACATTGAATTATTTTGCATTTCATTTTTAAGCTAGCTAATTTTTAAAACTGATCATTATATTAGTCAAGGTCCTGGCAGGAAGCAGATGGCACACTCAAATGGAGTAAAGGAATAAAAGACTCAAAAGACATGTGTAGAGTTATTCAAATTAAAAACATACAATAGAATAAAACCTGAGATGGTGCCATTTTTGGGGTCTGGAAGAATTGGGTGGCCCAATCTTGGAACCTAGAGGAAGAGGGACCCAGAAAGAATAGCTTTGGAGAGTGGTGCTTAATAGAAAACGTTGGCCTTTGGTCTAGACATGCAACCAATCTGAGGTTGCCTGCTAAGAGGGATCCCAGAGAATAGAAACTTTGATCTCACTCTCCTGTCCTCCACTCCAATCACCTGCCAGTGCTTCCCATTAGCTAAACCAAACTAGAAGCCAGAGAAGGTATAAGGCAGAGTGAAGAAGGATGGAAAGTGGATCTGGAAGAGCAATGGGAAAATACCCAGCACAAATGGATTATAAACACAAAACATTATTATCTATTGCTATTAGTTATAGCAAGTTTGCTTCTAAGAATGTACATCCAGTAGAGTGTAAAGCAAATGTATTTTTTAAGTTTATTTATTTATTTTGAGAAACAGAGAATGTGAGCAGGGGAAAGAGCAGAGGGAGAAGAGAGAGAGAATTGCAAGCAGACTCCATGCTGTCAGTGCAGAGCCACAAAGGGGACTCCATTCATAAACCATGAGATCATGACCTGAGCCAAAACCAAGAATCAGGTCCTTAAGATCAGATCCTCAAGAATCAGATTGAGCCACCCAGACACTCTGCAAATGTATTTTTAAGTCAGCAACTATGCTGGGCTATATATAGGGATGTTATTTAGAGCAGCCCTAACTTTAATATAAAATACGTATTATTCCTCAACAGGACTAATATACTTAGGAGTTTAATTTTCAACAGTTAACGACATCACATTGGATTCACATTGGATATTTCTACCTTAAAAGGAACTCAGGAAAATAGCTATAAACAATTGTTAATGATGCATGATAAAGTGCACATAAGCATTGAAAAACAGTAATAAAGACATAGGGATATTCAAAACAGTTAATTAGATAAATGTAGCAACAAATGTTGGAAATTCACTATGTTTGTACTGTACTTGACAAGTATTTATTGTGAGTCATATAAAAATATGAAAATGCGATGTTTAATTACATTAAGACAAAGTCTTTTTCAAAATTTCTTTAATGTTTATTTTATTTTTGAGAGAGAGAGAGACAGGGCATGAGCAGGAGCAGAGAGAGAGGGAGAAACAGAATCTAAAGCAGGCTCCAGGCTCTGAGCTGTCAGCACAGAGACCAGTGTGGAGCTCAAACCCACAAACCATGAAATCATGACCTGAACCGAAGTTGGACGCTTAACCGACCGAGCCATCCTGGCGCCCCACTAAAGACAAAGTCTTTAAGAAAAAAAGAAACCCATGATTCATAAAACATCACATATTTCAGAAATAGAGTTTAGAAATACGAATTTGAGTCAGACATACTCTAAGATAAATTAATTAAAAATTTTTAATTCCAAATTAATAGAAAGGAAAAAATACAGGCCACTTAGGAAGAAAAATAATTGAAGGGAAACTGAAAGTAAACCGGTCTTTGTGTGCACGTGTTAATAAGCATACTGACCTAAGGCTCTTAGCCATTTTGTGATATGTTTCACAGGAATGACTACAGTTAGGCATGTTTTTTGAGATTTCAAGAAGTTAAAGACTAATTGTTTCAGAAATTATCTCTTAATCATTGAACCTATTTTCCAAAGATCGCACACATCTGCCGGTACTAGTGGTAAGTATTTGAGCCGTCTGCTCAACATGCAAGTTCCACAATACCATTCACTGATGAGACTCTCCCAGAATGAATGGGTGGAAAATGTCAAATTTTAGCAATTTGTTTCTATATGCTTACTCTCTATTTCTGCCTTATCTTGGGAGTATCTATCTATCTTGAGAGTAACAGTGCCAGTGCTTAATCAACACTAGTTCATTATTCACATACTAAATGAATAGCATTGTGATGTAGAAGAGAGACATATGACTCCCCAGTGTATTTTATTCGTTAGGATTGCTTTTCATGAAGAGTAAAATAAACAGTAACAAATAAACTCGAGTTTCTAAAAAGAAAAGATGAAGGTCTTCAAAACAGTTTCCCATTGTGATGGTAGGATTAAATCCTCAGCGGGGTAAATAAACAAGGAAAACAAGGTTTAAAATAACTCACCTCCCCCAAAGACATCTCAAAATAGAGAATCTAAAAATGGTATCAACTTTAGCAAAATTTTTAGTTTTTCATAAGAATATTCTTCATCAAATTCTCAGCAGAATCCAAAACCTGAAGCTATTGACAAGGAGTTGTTGTTGTTACTATTATTGTGTGTACAGTCGAGCCTTTTTGCATTATATTAGGATAACTAGAGTTACATGTATTAACCATTAGTGGAGCCAACACACTATTTGATGAAAGATGTTGTTGAACCATTTATTAGAACCTACTAGGGGAATCATTTGGACCATTTTATTCCTTCTCAGGATAGTTACATGAAGGGATGTTGACTGGGGAATTGAATGAAAAGGGACAGACAGAGGCATATGTTATGCTCTTTATTTACCCCAGACCACCTTATACCAAGAACAGAAAAAATGAGGACAGAAATTTTTCTTTTTCTGCTTTCAAGACACATTTCTCTTACACTGTTGGGAAATCACAGTCATTAAATGCAAAGAGATTAGAATGCACTTGTTAAATTGGATTATCTCACTTTTATATCATTGTCAAGAAATAGCCACTTTGTCCTGAATCAGCAAAACAAGATGTAATTTTAAGATGGGCTTTTTATTATAAGTTAAATAGGGATCTTTAAAATTTAAATATCCTTGTATTCTCTATAGTACACAAAATGCATGGTGCTGACTGAATTTGTGGATTGAAATGAAAACAAAATCTTAAGTGAATAAAAATGATCTTAAAACTTGGATTTTTAAATAAAGACTTCCTTCAAATGATGAAATGAAAAAAGGAAGCCATTATTTTTGACAGCAACTACTTCTTGGACCAACCTCTTCACTTGCTCAAATTTTCTTCCTTTAGACAGCTCTCTACCACAGAGGATGGGCCACAATAACTCACATTTCCTCTACCATTTTCCAGGGATTTTTTCCAATAATTTAAGCAAATTCTACAGGTTTACCTTGCATATTTATCTGAAGTGGGCAAAAAGACAGTGTGATTTTACCTTTTCACTTTTATCAGATATGATTTTATATTAAATTATATTCACCCTTAAATTTATTCCAGTAAAGAAAACACAATATCTGGAACCCAGTTTCTGTTGTCTGGGTACTGAGTTAATCTTCCCAAGGCTGACAATGATTTCTAGGTGAACAATTCCATTAAAAGTTTTTCAGTACTGATCTCACCTAGTCCCTATATACTAACTGACTCTGCCTACCATCCCTTCTAGAAATAAGTGTCTTCTTTTTTCATTTATCATGACACTCCTTCTTTGGCTTATTGCCCTACTTCTATGAGGTCTCTTTCTCTCACTCCTGTGTGGGGTAGTAGAGAACCATGCACATGAAGGAACATTTAAACAGCTTGCTTTAAATTCTGGCTCCAGCACAGATTACATCTCTGTCACTGTGCAAATTACTTAACTGCCAGGTACCTTAGTTTCCTCATCTGTAAATAGGGATTAGAGTAGTATCTCCCATTAAGCAATCATTACTATCCAAGTGAAGAGTAATATTCATCACTTACTATTAGCTCTTTGTATAATATTCTTCTAACTAGTCACATAAATGCATTAAGTAATAAACACTTTAGGCATAAAAATGTTATATAACTAACACATCACAATGTATGAGCTTAATTAACTGATAATTGTTAAATCTGAGCTGAAAGTAAATGAAGATTAATTTACGAA